TCCTGAAAATAGCAGAAATTTCTGAAAATTGCAAAAATTGCAAAAATTCCTGAAAATTGCAAAAATAGCAAAAATTCCTAAAAATTGCAACAATTGAAAAAAATTCCTGAAAATCGCAAAATTTCCTGAAAGATGCAAAAATTGCAAAAATTTCTGAAAATTGCAGAAATTGCAAAAATTCCTGAAAATTGCAAAAATTGCAAAAATTCCTGAAAATTGCAAAAATTGCAAAAATTCCTGAAAATTGCAGAATTTGCAAAAATTTCTGAAAATTGCAAAAATTGCAAAAATTCCTGAAAATTGCAAAAATTGCAAAAATTCCTGAAAATTGCAAAAATTCCTGAAAGTTGCAAAATTTGCGAAAATTCCTGAAAATTGCAGAATTTGCAAAAATTTCTGAAAATTGCAAAAATTCCTGAAAATTGCAGAAATTGCAAAAATTCCTGGAAATTGCAAAAATTGAAAAAAATTCCTGAAAATTACAAAATTTCCTGAAAGTTGCAAAAATTGCTAAAATTCCTGAAAATTGCAAAAATTGCAAAAATTTCTGAAAATTGCAAAAATTGCAATAATTCGTGAACATTTCAAAAATTGCAAAATTTCAACATTTGAAAAAAATTCCTGAAAATTACAAAATTTCCTGAAAGTTGCAAAAATTGCAAAAATTCCTGGAAATTGCAAAAATTTCTGAAAATTGCAAAAATTGCAAAAATTCCTGAAAATTGCAAAAATTACAAAATTTCCTGAAAATTGCAAAATTCGCAAATATTCCTGAAAATTGCATAAATTGCAAAAATTCCTGAAAATTGCAAAAATTGCAAAAATTTCTGAAAATTGCAAAAATTCCTGAAAATTGCAAAAATTGCAAAAACTGCAAAAATTTCTGAAAATTGCAATAATTGCAAAAATTCCGGAAAATTGTAAAAATTCCTAAACATTCCTGAAAATTGCAAAAATTTCAAAAATGCCTGAAAATTGCAAAAATCGCAAAAATTCCTGATAATTGCAGAAATAGCAGAAATTGCAAAAATCCCTGAAAATAAGAAAAAATCCTGAAAATAAGAAAAATTCCTGAAAATTGCAAAAACTCCTGAAAATAGCAAAAATTTCTGAAAATTGCAAAAATTGCAAAAATTCCTGAAAATTGCAAAAATAGCAAAAATTCCTAAAAATTGCGACTGAAAAAAATTCCTGAAAACCGCAAAATTTCCTGAAAGATGCAAAAATTTCTGAAAATTGCAGAAATTGCAAAAATTCCTGAAAATTGCAAAATTTGCAAAAATTCCTGAAAATTGCAAAAATTCCTGAAAGTTGCAAAATTTGCAAAAATTCCTGAAAATTGCAGAATTTGCAAAAATTTCTGAAAATTGCAAAAATTGCAAAAATTCCTGAAAATTGCAGAAATTGCAAAAATTCCTGGAAATTGAGAAAATTGAAAAAAATTCCTGAAAATTACGAAATTTCCTGAAAGTTGCAAAAATTGCTAAAATTCCTGAAAATTGCAAAAATTGCAAAAATTTCTGAAAATTGCAAAAATTGCAATAATTCGTGAAAATTTCAAAAATTGCAAAAATTCCTGAAAATTGCAAAATTGAAAAAAATTCCTGAAAATTACAAAATTTCCTGAAAGTTGCAAAAATGGCAAAAATTCCTGAAAATTGCAAAAATTGCAAAAATTTCTGAAAATTGCAAAAATTGCAAAAATTCCTGAAAAATGCAAAAATTACAAAATTTCCTGAAAATTGCAAAATTTGCAAAAATTCCTGAAAATTGAAAAAAATTCCTGAAAATTGCAAAAATTGCAAAAATTCCTGAAAATTGCAAAAATTGAAAAAAGTTCCTGAAAATTACAAAATTTCCTAAATGTTGCAAAAATTGCAAAAATTGCAAAAATTTCTGAAAATTGCAAAAACTGCAAAAATTTCTGAAAATTGCAGAAAATAAGATGAAATCCTGAAAATAAGAAAAATTCCTGAAAATTGCAAAAACTCCTGAAAATAGCAAAAATTTCTGAAAATTGCAAAAATTGCAAAAATTCCTGAAAATTGCAAAAATAGCAAAAATTCCTAAAAATTGCAACAATTGAAAAAAATTCCTGAAAATCAAAAAATTTCCTGAAAGATGCAAAAATTGCAAAAATATCTGAAAATTGCAGAAATTGCAAAAATTCCTGAAAATTGCAAAAATTCCTGAAAGTTGCAAAATTTGCAAAAATTCCTGAAAATTGCAGAATTTGCAAAAATTTCTGAAAATTGCAAAAATTGCAAAAATTCCTGAAAATTGCAAAAATTGCAAAATTCCCGAAAATTGCAAAAATTCCTGAAAGTTGCAAAATTTGCAAAAATTCCTGAAAATTGCAAAATTCGCAAAAGTTCCTGAAAATTGCAGAAATTGCAGAAATAGTAAGAATTGCAAAAATTGCAATAATTCGTGAAAATTTCAAAAATTGCAAAAATTCCTGAAAATTGCAAAAATTGAAAAAAATTCCTGAAAATTACAAAATTTCCTGAAAGTTGCAAAAATTGCAAAAATTCCTGAAAATTGCAAAAATTGCAAAAATTTCTGAAAATTGCAAAAATTACAAAATTTCCTGAAAATTGCAAAATTTGCAAAAATTCCTGAAAATTGCATAAATTGCAAAAATTCCTGAAAATTACAAAAATTGCAAAAATTTCTGAAAATTGCAAAAATTGCAAAATTCCTGAAAATTGCAAAAATTGCAAAAATTACAAAATTTACTGAAAATTGCAATTTTCAGAAATTTTTGCAATTTTTGCCATTTTCAGGAGTTTTTGCAATTTTCAGAAATTTTTCTTATTTTCAAGAATTTCTGCAATTTTTGCAATTTCTGCAATTTTCAGGGAATCCAGCTAAGAAGAATTTGCCATTTTGTTCCAGCCAGGGAACTCCGTAAGTTGAAGCTCACGGCCTCTTGCGCTTATGAAATGGAAGCATATAGATCATAGTAGTTAGGTATATGGTATATGATGGTGATTCATCAACTATGCAAGGTCAGGTATCAAAACAGATTATTCATTTTCAGAAACAATTCTAAAATGAAAAGTCATGACTGAAATGTTTCTGCACTATTCATGAAATCATTCTCCTCAAACTGTTTGAATCACGGTTCTTAACCCTGTACTTGATTGTTACATCATTATCATCTTGTAGACTTGTTCAATGACTATGTTAATATAAACAGGTTGATCAATTTTTTTCCGGGAAAGTGAGGGATATAGGTCTTTTAGAAATATTGAAGTCACACTAGTATGTACCACAGTTTAGAGAATATTCATTCTCTAAACTGTGTTTTCACCTAACCTTATGAGTATATATGGTTGAGAGGAAGTTACAGAGCGTTGAGGTTCATCAGGCCGATAGGTACATTTTTTACGCGATATCTCAGTTTCTCCTTCGATATTAGCCAAACCGTCAGATATATAGGAAAAAATCAAATACAACAGGTATATGGTTTCATGAGATCTATCACCTAAAATTTTGTTTATATACACACAAAGGAACCTTCGAAGAGGCTCGCAAAAGAGATTTTATTCCTAAACAGGCGAAACCTTAAAATGGTAGTGGGGATCCTAACGGGGCACAACCACCTCAATAGGCACCTAGAGCTTATTGGGATCAAGGATGACCCCCTTTGCAGATGGTGCCTGGAAGATGACGAAACGACATCACATGTCCTCACTGAGTGTCCAGCACTGACGCATCAGAGGAGGGCTGTCCTTGGCAACATAATTTTGAGGCCAGAGGACGTAAAAGAGATTCAGCTGAGGAAGCTGCTGAACTCCTCCAAGGCAGTCGGCATACCCAGCTGAATGTCGTAACATGTGGGCGCACAATGGGCCCGAATAAGGAGGCCCACGTGCACCCACGTGCACCCGCCCACCAGTGCTTCGAAAAAGAAGAAGAAGAGAAGAAGAGATCAATCACCTAAAATTTTGTTCATATATATAGGGTGTTCGAATTCTAAGATATCGGCAGATGATGTTTTTTTTAAATGGGACATCCTGTATATTATCGCGTTTTTAGGTTCTCCCTGGAGAGCCGATTTCATCAATGCATGACACTCGGGGTGTAGCGGGAATGATAACAGAGATAGGGTGTTCAAAAACAAAAAAACTAAATTTTGGAATTTTTTTATGTCGAAACTATTATTATCGGTCAGAACGGCTCACATGTCCCTTTCTAAACTTTTGATTTACTATCTACTGGCATTGAATTGGAAATAAATACAGGGTCCTTCAAGATTCAGAATGCTGATAACCCTGTATCTGTAATGATGTTGGGGGAAATTTTAGAAACATGTCGTGTGTTGATATTTTGCTTTCGCTTATTTTGAACGTTCGGGATATCTTTAGGAACTCGCACCAAGAATTTCTCGTTAGTGATACCCTCGGGATGACTTGAAGAACTCACAATGAGAATTTTTGATTCAGATTACGTTCGGGTCAACTGAACGAACGTAAGAATATCTCGTTTACGTTACATACCTATAGCTTTAGAAACTCGCAACAAGAATTTCTTGTTCAGGTTAGGTTCCAGCTAGCTTAAGGAACTCGCAGTAAGAATTTCTGATTCAGGTTAATTTCGTAATAACTTTGGGAATTCGTTGTGGAAATGGAATCGATAACTGAAAGGTGAGGTTTGAAAGATTTCTACATGGGACTTCAGGAAGAAATTCGCTTAGTTACAGCACATAGCGATCTTTACTACCTTACGATAGGAGTTCGCATATGATCCTGATGTTGATCTCTCTGAGATCTCGCGGAGAGGTTTGTGTTACCTGGGTATTATTATCAAACTGATGATCCTCATATTGACGTTCGAAATGTGAAAAAAAGTCGTCAAATTGCAATGGAATTACAAAAATATCATACAAAATTTCAAGAAATGAAAGACTATGAATTCTGAAATTGAAATCCTCATGCCGCCCCTGTACCCAACAAAAATAATAATATTATTACATTCATTGATAAGAAGCTGTTCTGTTATCTTCTATCGATGTGAACGGTCTTGAACTGGAAATAGACTAAAAATATAGAATACCATTAGTCCAAATATTATAAGTTTTGATTTTGGTTGAGTAGGTATAGAAAGTTCTTGGGAGAAAAAATGGCAGCACCTATAGCTGAAGTTGCAGAAGGCCGCTTACAGGGATATACGAAGAAAAATCTTGACGGAGAAGATTTTTTCTGTTTCATTGGTATCCCTTATGCACAACCACCAGTAGGAAAACTGAGATTCAAAGTAAGAATAAAATAGTATCCGGCTGAACTTCAAGGGGTGATTATTTGGGTGGTTCTTAGACAAAAAGTTCATATTATACACAGAGTGACCCATTTGAAAGCGGGCCACCCCTGTATCTCACGTAATCGTTGGGTAAGGATCATGAAATTTGCTGGAGCGAGAGATATACCACAAATGCACTCTATAACCAAGTGGGGTAATCTTCAGTGATATACACTGCTCGCCAACAGCCATGGAACCACCCCAATTTCCTGAAAATGATATTAGGAGTCAAAATAGGTTGAAAATCATTTCGGATTCGGAATCAGGACGCCCAATTCACTAACTGTTCATATTTTTCCTTGAAAATTTTCAGTTCTGAAACATTACATTTTGTCGCACTTTTCATGGAAGCGCATCCCCGTATCTCACGTAATTATAGTGGTAGGGTTCTAAAATTTGCAGGAGGAACGGAAAGTCCAAAGATGAAGTCAATTACGTGAGATACGGGGGTGCTTCCGTGAAAAGTGCGACAAAATTTAATTTTTCAGAACTGAAAATTTTCAAGGAAAAATATGAAGAGTTAGTGAATTGGGCGTCCTGATTCCGAATCCGAAGTGATTTTCAACCTATTTTGACTCCTAATATCATTTTCCGGAAATTGGGGTGGTTCCATGGCTGTTGGCGAGCAGTGTATATCACTGAAGATGACCCACGTGGTCATAGAGTGCATTTTCGGTATATCTCTCGCTCCAGAAAATTTCATGATCCTTACCCAACGATTACGTGAGATACAGGGGTGGCCCGCTTTCAAATGGGTCACTCTGTATGGTGTCAAAGTTTTAATAAAAAATCGTTTTTTTATTAATTACTCAAAGTTTTTTTTTCCAATTTCAATTGAACTTTGTGATTTTGTTAACAGTATCAAGAAGCTTCTTTTGGTGTTATTTCATCCGAAATAATGAATCCGGTGGCCATTGGCGTCGCAGTGGGTTACCTTTTATGGTAAATAAAGGTACCAATACGTCATACTCTTTCCCAAGTTTGATATTTCTATCAGATCAAACTTTTGAACATTCAAATTTCCTGGCTCCCATCGATTTTTTTAAATCACTCAGTTTCTGAGGAAATAATACTAAATTGATTTGTCTCCAAATTTTTATGTAGGTGACCTCAAATCACCCATTGGGATTGCCCAATAATCTCGATAAGTATTCTGAAATTTTGCCATCATGAAAGATTATACAGGGTGATCCATTAATCATGAAAATCAACTGTATCTTGGAAACGAAGTATTTCAGGACCTATGTGTATTTGAACTTTTCGTCTCAGAATCACCCAAATAATCGCCCCTTCAAGTTTGGCCAGTTACTTAAATAACACCCTGTATAGGAAGAGGAATGAGAATGTGCAACAGATTTATTCGTTTAAAGGACTGAAGGATTCTTTATTTTTAAGGAATATATTCCTAAAATGGGCTTGTTGACTGATAATGAATTATTGGCAATATTGGCAGTCAATTACTCCACTGTGTCTTTAGGGACCAAATTTGATTTTTGCAACAATTGATCAGATAATCTTCCATTTCTTCTTCTAATCTTCTATTATAATTTATTCATCAAGAGGATTAGAGTCCTGTCGTTGAATAAAACACGAGAAAAAACATTATTTATTTTATTTATTTATTTATTACAACTTTGGGATACAAACAGGTTCAAAACCCAAAAAAGTATCCGCTGATACAAAATTTTACATGACATCTCGTCTTATAATGAGATGATTATGAATAAAGATATACAGTAAATATCAATACTACAATATTTGTTAAAACTACTACTCAATCTAATAATTGGAGAATTGCTGCCCAAATTTATATTTCGATAATCTTTGAGAAAGAAATTATTGCAAGTGTTCCTAGAAGGAATATGTATAGAGAAAAATGATAATAATGTTGGACAGTCATAGTGATTCCTTAGAACCTTGAACAGTCAGTGATTATTATTCGTTTTTCTAATTCCAAAATACCAAAGGACTGCCGAACTAGATGAATATTTTCTATGTTGTATAGGTTCCATTTATTTTAAAATTCAGAAATCTCACGAATCTATTCTGTACTTTTTCGATCCGTAGTTTATATACGGTACCTATATCCTGGATTCCAAATTACACTTGCGAAATTTAATTTGCTGTAAACAAATACAAAGTAAAGAGATTTCAATGATTTCTGAGATTTAAAACTTTCACAAATTCGAGTGAGGAAACTAACATGTTGTTACATTTACTTATTATATAATCGTAATGTTTGTTGAAATTCATTTTGGAATCTGAAATAAGCCCTAGATCTTTGATTTCCTCCACTCTCTTCAATACAGTACCAGACATATTAAAACTGAATTCAAAATTCTTGACGTTTTTTTTGTGAAAGAGATAATGGAACATTTATTTATGTTTAAAAATAATCTATTCTTTTCGCAATATTGTGAGAACCTCAAAAGATCAGAATTTAGTTTTTCACAGTCCTCACGAGACTCGACAATAGAATATATTTTCAGATCGTCTGCGTAGAGTAGGAATTTAGAGTTTACGAAGCACTTTATCACGTCATTAATGAAGATCAAGAATAGCAGAGGACCTAAGTGTGAGCCTTGTGGCACTCCTGAGGTCACTGTGAAAGCTTCAACCTGGTTACCATTAATGTTCACAATTTGGGATTATATGAGGAAGCCATGATATTATAGTTCATTCTTGACTTCTTCGAGCAACCAAATATTTCTTATACTCCATAACAAAATATCATGTCGATGTTGAAGACTTGGCAACAAAGTGGTGAATAAATGAATACGAAAAACTCAAAGTCATATCCACACAATGTTC